TCAAAGATGGTGGCGCCCACAGCCACACGATGGTCGAGCCCAGTACCCTCAGCCCCGCCGGGGCGGCAGGCAGGTGGCAAGGTCAAGCCCGCTCCCAGCCTGGTGCACAGGCAAGCTTCGGAGAGCAGCTGCTCAGCTGCCCAGGGCCATCCGAGGCTCAGGTAACCAGGGCCGGCCACAGCTTGTGCTGCCAGCAGTGGCAGCAGCAAAGATGTGATGTGGGCATCATCTTCCCATGATCGCCGGGTCGCCTCCTGCCCCTGAGGGCTCCCTGACTATGAGAGGGGGCAGGCCGGGTTGAGGGACCCCCACTCCAGTTCATGAATTTTCATGCACCAGGACTATAGTAAGAAATATAAAAGCCAGTAGGAAAAAAATAAAAACCAAAATATAATGAAAAGAATAAAAAGGAAAAATTGGCATTCACCTCAACAGAGTATGTTGTACCTGCTGTGATCTCCCTTTGGATATGCTGTGTGTGAGGGTTGTTGGATGCTGCTCCAATGTTGTCTGAAGATGGCCAGTGGGCCTGTTGGTTTAGGGCCTCCTGGGAGGTTCTCTGGTGAAGGCCAATCTTAAGTGTTGTCTATGCCTAGTCCTTGGCAACCAGTTTGAAAATATAAGTGACCCACAGTTTGTGGTGTCTCTGCTGGGCTTGGCTGTGCATAGGAAGAAACAAGCTGAGCGCCAAGCCTGGTGTTTACCACCACAAAGCCCAGGGTGGGGGTCAGCAAATGTCCCAAGGCACCCCTGGATTCTCCTGTTCCTGCATCCACCTGCTGACTGGATGTTAACCTTGGTACCTGGAATGGCTCAGTCTCTTAAAGAGCCTCTGGTGGAATCAAGAGGATGGGGCTCTAGGAAGTACTGGTCAGACTTCAGGGAAGATGGTGGGTGTGTTCCCCTGCTCCAGAGCTACTTGTCTGAGTCTGTCCAAGATTTTTTCTTGAACTTGGTACCTTGGAACCTTTGGTGGTCAGGTATTTGGGGCCTATGCAGACAAGAGATTGGGTCTCCCAGAGCCCAAAAGAGCATTTTTCTCAGATCTCCTGTGAGGAACATGTACCAGTGAGGTTCAAGAGAAAGTGGGTCAATGGCCTCACCAAAGCCAGTCTCTGACACCTCCTCAGATGCCCAGACATCTACACCAGCCCTATGCCCCTGACTCCTCAGCAGGGCCTAGAATGCAGAGTGCGGTGACAGTGTTCCAGAGGTGGAGGATTGCTTTCCCCAGGCTGATGCCAATGGGTAGGGATAGCTCCTCCCAAGTAAGATGGCTGCTGAGGAATGGAGGAGGACCCAGTACAGTGTCCTGGAGGCTCTTCCCCATGTCCCTCCCCAAAGCCACCCATCCTGACTCTCCTCAGGCAGGTGCCTTCTGACCACCCTCCTTCCCTTGGAGCACAGCATGAGTGGCTGCTAACACACATTTTGCTCCTTAGCCTTTAAAGTGGCAGTTTTGTCTCCAGCAGGTTCTGCTTCTCCTTGGCAGACAGAAACCTCCCTGCATTTCACAGCTGGGTGCTATGCTGTTGCCTATTCAAGTATCTGGCATTCCAGGTGTGGCCTGGTCTTGCTATGGGCTTCACACTTCTCAGGGGAACCTCTGCAGCTGAAATATCCCTCTATCACCTTGGCTTGACAACCAGGGGAGAGGGGCCAGCCTCTTTTGAGTGCCCCCCTTCCTTCAGTCTCCAGGTGGTTTCTCCCTGCTCCTTGGTTAAATGTCTCCTCTTCAGATAGCCTTTAGTTGGTAATTCAAGGTTATTGAGTCCCATTTTAGTTGTAATTTCCAGTTGGTTCTGGGAGGAGGTGAGAGTAAAATCCACCTACATCAAAACCACCTTGCGCCCTCACCATCTGCGTTTCTCTTCCTGCAAACATGAAACTTCAACTGTGCTGCATGTGAGAGTGTTCCTACTAATATAACAAAACTGTTGAAACACAGAGCCATCAGTGGTTGTCACAGAGGCTTAGGTCTAGAGAGGCTCCTGGATAAACTGTTATGTGGAGAGGAAACCCAGAACCCTCAGAGGAAACTGCCATAAACACCACCTGCAACTGCTCCTGAGGCTGCAACCCAAGGTCTGTGGGTCCTGTTTGCCCCCTGGTGGTCAGAGCCTCTGCTGCAGGGAGGTTTGTGTCTGGGCTCACACTGACTTCCCCTCACTTAAGTCTGCTGTACAGTAATACATGGCTGTGTCATCAGCTCTCAGGCTGTTTATTTGCAGATACAACATGTTCTTGGCATTGTCTCTGGAGATGGTGAATCGGCCCTTCACAGAGTCTGCATAGTATTTCTGACTTCCATCATACCATATAACTGCCACCCACTCTAGCCCTTTCCTTGGAGCTTGGCGGACCCAGTTCATGCCAGAGCTACTGAAGGTGAATCCAGAGGCTGCACAGGAGAGTCTCAGAGACCCCCCAGGCTGCACCGAGCCTCCCCCAGACTCCACCAGCTGCACCTCACACTGGACACCTGCAAACACAAAGACATACTGGTCACACAACTCTCACACATCCACTGTTACCCTCACTCATATCCACTCACAATAGTCAGTGTTTCTCATTCTCCATAAATTACCTCTTAAAATACAACAAGGAAAACCCAGCTGAGCCCAAACCCCATGGTGTGTGGTCTGTGTTCAGTCTTGATCAGAGAATGGGAACACTTGGGGATCTCAGAGCTGTGGGGTCAGGGCTGGGCTGTTTTTATGAGGGGGCGGCCAATTTGCATGTCCACCTCCTATATAGACAGCTTTGGGGTTGGATTATGACATAAAGGACATAGTCCCAGAGTGTGACATGTCCAAGGGTGCTGTGTGTGAGGAATTACTCAACACATCTGGGCCTGTGTTCTCCCCAGTAGACCCAAAGGCTTCAGGATATCGCTACAAAGACTCAGGACAGAAATTTTCATAAAAAGAAAAAGAAGAGCTTTAAAATGAGAGATGCCTTTGACAGTCACCAGTAATAACAACCAAGAGAAAGCAACTCTCACAACCCGAGAAAGAAGTAAAAGTGCTGGGGGTTCATGTTCAGGAGATGGGAAATTCCATCTGACACTATTTCCCCTACAGAGTGTTCGGAGGAGAAACTAAGACCAGAGTGTGAGCCTAGAGCCAGTGGACCAAGTGTTGGGGGAGAGAAGAGTGTCTGTGTGGGTCCCTGGGAAAGAGAAGCACGAGCTATAGAGACACAGACAGAGCTCCCGGGTCCCATTCCGTCAGGGGAGTTCGGTGTTGGGTGTGCAGCAGCTGCACTACCTACTTTGTGGTATTTATTCTCTAGACTTTGTTGTCAATCCAGTTTCAAACATTGGAACAATGAAGAATCTCCATCATGACCAGATCTGTTTAGGTAAAGTTGCTGGTAACAATTGGGGAGCAATTAAGTTTAAGTTTTGGAAATTTAATTATGTAAGGTCTTGATGCAGATCACTGATAGAAACCTGGTCACCCTCATGGGTTCTGCCTTGTATTCACCATCAGGGTCTGTGTCCATGAGGACATGTGACATGGTTCTAACTGGGGAACAGGAGTGCATGTTGGGCTTTCCTGCTTCATCAGTAGCTCATTTCAGAAGCACCATCTGCTCCCTCTCGAGTCCCTACTCACATCTGCATGTGGTCCTTGGCAGTGCTCTCACTGTGTCTATACATGATGGGCGTCCCCTGGGACCAGAGGCCCAGTCACTGGATGGACCAATGTGCAACATGGGAAAAGCCACCCCGAGGGGGAAGATGAATTACCATGGACGGGAATTCACCACATCTGAGCAGGCACAGCTCCAGGATTGTCCCTTCATTGTGTGGTGATTTCCTCATTGTTTTCCCAGTTCAGTTTGTCTCCCTTTTTCCTGAAATAGCCACACATAACATCTGCAGTCATTCAGATAAGGAAGCACTGACTTAAAATTTAATCCATGTTCCAGGTTCCAGGTGAGGGCCAAACTACTGTGTCATGCATCCCAGACAGACAGGTGTCATGGCTGAATTCTAGACAAATTAACATGTGCACACACATATGCTCACTCCGCTCTCATGCACACAACTTCCAGTTCCCAGGAAGGAAACTCATCCCAGGTTCCCGAGGGGCAGTGGAAACCCTGACTATCAGGGAACTGTGATGGCTGGACCCTGTCCTCAGGAATATCTGGGTTCTCATCACTGGAGCCTGTGGGTGTCCTTATATGACAGGACTTTGCAGACATGGTTAAGGTGGGGATGATGGAGCTAAGTGTGCTAACACGGGGATTATCCTGACTCATCTGCTGGGACATATAGGTAACCACAAGGGTCCCCTTCAGAGAGAAACAAACAATCAGGCTAAAAGTTTTGTGATCATTGAAACCAGACGTTGGGGTGTGTTTGCTCATCCACCCAAGTGAATGAGGACCAGGAGGGAAGCATGAGATAGGGAGGACGGAGAGCAGTGGAGGGAGGTTCTGGGGGAGGATCCTCACTGCTGTGGCCCAGGTGGGCCTGTCAGAGGGAAAAGGTGGGCCTGTCAGAGGGAAACATGGGGACAGGTGGGTCTGTGGGACAGGGAGCCTGAGCTCAGCACACAGGGGCCTGGGCTGCGCTGGGGTCTCTCTTGGTGGGAAGATTTCCAAAACCTAGAACAAGGAGAGCACTGAGGATGGTCTCCTTGCAGAGAAAGAGAAATAGAAAATGCAAAGACTTGGTGACGGAGAGTCCCTGTCACTGCCGACCTGTCTCCTGCAAACAGACAATGTCCCTTCTTCATTGAGAATGAAATGTCTGCAGTGAGAATATGAGAAGGAAGAGCCATCCCTGGAGGCAGCTGAGAGCTTGAGAGGAAATCCCTGTGCCCAACAGGAAGCCCCTTCCCTCCACACCTTCCTCTGCCCCATCTCCAGGGGCTGCTCTCTGTGCTGTGGGTACTGAGCGCCCCCTGGTGTCCCGAGCGTCCCCTGCAGCCCAGCCCTGCTGTCTCCCTCAGGGAGGTTTGTGTCTGGCTCACACTGAATTCCCCTCACTGTGTGTCCCTTGCACAGTAATACATGGCAGTGTCCTCGGCTCTCAGGCTGCTCAGCTCCATGTAGGCTGTGCTCGTGGACGTGTCTCTGGACATGGAGACTCTGCCTTGGAACTTCTGTGCATATTTTGTGTTTCCATTGTTAGGGTAAACCCACCCCACCCACTCAAGCCCCTGTCCTGGGGCCTGTCGCACCCAGTGCATGTAGTAGCTGGTGAAGGTGTATCCAGAAGCCTTGCAGGAGACCTTCACGGAGGCCCCAGGCTTCCTCACCTCAGCCCCAGACTGCACCAGCTGCACCTGGGAGTGGACACCTGTGGAGAGGAGACAGGAGTGGGTGGAAATCCCCCTTGATCCTCCCTGATCCGCTCCTTAACCCAGGGACTGGGGAGCCCCTTACCTGTAGCCATGGCCACCAGGAGGAGGGTTCTCCAGCTCCAGTCCATGCTGAGGGACTGTGCTGTGAGCACTTCTGTAGGGGAAGGTGTGGCTGTGGGTGATGCCCCCAGGGCACAGATTTATCCAATTTAACCTAGTCTACTCCCTCTCTTTTGCATATTCATGAGGCAGAGTATTTCATAGCTGACGTCTTCACCCCACCTGAGAGAAGATGGATGACATAGGGACCAGGCTCAGTGGAAGTCTGAGGGTCCTAGTTCTTATTCTTTTTTCTTTTTTATAAATTATATCTTTATTGTTGAAATTATTACATATGTCCCATCTAATTCCTAATTGACCCCTTCTAGCCTGCCCCAAGACTTCACCATCCTATTGTCTGTGTCCATGGATTATGTATATATGCATTCAAGTTTTTAGTTGACCTCTTCCCACCAACCCACCCTCCCCTGCTTTCCCTCTGAGATTCCGAAGCCTGTTCCATGCTTCCATGATTCTGGATCCACTCCATTCATCAGTTTATTTTGTTACTTAGATTCCACATATGAGTGAGATTATGTGATACTTGTCTTTCTCTGACTGATTTATTTCACGTAGCATGATACTCTCCAGGTCACTTCATGCTGTCTCAAAGGGTAAGAGTCTCTTCTTTGTTACTGCTGCATAGTATTCCATGGTATAAATGTACCATTGCTTTTTTAACCACTCGTCTACAGATGGGCACTTGGGCTATTTGCAGATCTTAACTATTGTAAATTGTGCTGCTATGAACATAGGCGTGAATACATTCCAGTAGCTTTTTATTTTTATGTAGTCCCATTTGTTTATTTTCTCCTTAATTTCTTTTGCCCTAGGAGATGTATCTGTAAACATATTGCTACTAGAGATGTCTGAGATTATGCTGCCTACGGTTTCTTGTATGATTTTTATCTTTTCATGACTTACATTTAAGACTTTTATCCATTTTGAGTTTTTGCTTGTGTATGGTGTAAATTGGTCTGGTTTCATTTTGCTTGCATGTGTCTGTCCCATTTTCTAAACACCATTTATTCAAGAGACTCTCTTGACTCCATTGTATGATCTTGCCTCCTTTGTGAAATATTAATTGAGCATAATGACGGGTCAATTTCTGGGGTCTATGTACTATTTAATTGGTCTATATGTCTGTTCTTATGCCAGTACCAGGCTGTTTTGATTACAGTGGTTTTTTAGTATAATTTTATATCTGGTATTGTGATCCCTCAAATTTTATTCTTGTTTCTCAAGATTACTGAGCTTTACAGGATCTCTTTTGATTCCATATAAATTTTTGGAATATTTGTTGTATATCTGTGAAGACCACAGTGGGTATTTTAATAAGAATTTCATTGAATCTATAGATTGCTTTGGGTAGTATAGGCATATTAATTATGTTAATAATACCAATTCCTGAACATGGTATATTCTTCCATTTTTTTATGTTTTCCTCTATATCTACTTTCAACATCTTGTAGGTTTCCCAGTACAGGTCTTTTGCCTCCTTGGTTCAATTTATTCCTAAGTATCTTAAGTTTTGTTGTTGTTTTTGCAATGGTAAATAGGATTGTGTGTTAAGTTTCTCCTTCTGAGAATTCATTATTGGTGTATAAAAATAGCTTTGATTTCTGGGTATTAATCTTGTATCCTGTTAGATTACCGAATTCATTTATTAAATCTACCAGTTTTTTTGGTTGAGTCCTTCAGATTTTCTATGTACAGTATCATGTTGGTGAAGGAGAGTCCCCAGTCACTGCCCATATGCCATCTGCCAACAGCAAGGTGACCTCCTACTCTGGTGTCCGCAGTGAGAATACAGGGAATTAGAGCCAAAGTGAAAAAGCAAAAATCCTCCCTGGATGCAGCTGACAGCTTGAGCAGGAGTTTGTTAGAAATAAAATCATTTAAGGTCATGCAGGCAGGGATCAAGAGAGATAAGGAGCGTGTCACTTCAAACTGGTGGGAAGGGGAACACTGTTTCCTACATGCACATTCTCACAGTGTCTCTATTCTAGAAGGTAACACCTTCCCAGGTCCAGGAGATCAGAACTTGAACACTTTTAGGGTCATTATTGATATGTCACACCTGAATCACCCAAGCTGCATAATTAATTGGGGTCCCATTTATAAAATATCTCAATAGTTGCAGGGAAGAGTGGATACCTCTCACTGGATGAGCCATGGTGAAGGTGTGTTTGCATTTGTGCCATAATTTCCTTGGACCAACACCCGTGTCTCATTCCATCATAGTCATAATCTGAATCATCGCCATTTGCTTTTTCTTTCCACATGACCACACCCCCTGCCCCAGGCCCTCACTGCCCTAGTGTTTCTGATTTGCTTATTTTTAATCACCCTTCTCATTTTCTGTAGACATGGTGGTTGTCAACACACAATGACTTTTTATAGGAAAAGAAAGCAGGTGCCTCCTCTTTAGATGCCATTGGAAAATTCAACCCTCAAAGGCCGAACTCTAAGTTCACACAAGGCCTTCTAAAAACTGATGACCTTGGATAAAGTACAGATTCCGTCCAGAACTTTGGACCATGATCTTTGTCCAATTCTATCAACAACATCACCACCTCCATCACCATCACCACCACCACCATCATCATCATTATCACATGCTTACTTATAATTATTCTTCTCATTTTCTGTAGGCCTAGTTTTTGAATACACATAATGACACTTTATCTAAAATTTTTGGTCATTTTGGTTATTTAGGTGTTAAGTAAAATAGGTTGCCATACTCTTATTTTCCATTTGACTGCTGAGAAGGGAAGGCTTATTCTTACCTCTTCTCCATCTGCCACACACAAGAAATCTGATAGGAAATCATGGTTTTGTCTTTAGATGTAATTGTGAGATTGAAACCACTCAAGTCCCTGGAAGGAGAATTCCTCCCCATCTGCCACCACCTTGACAAATAAAACCCCAAGCCAGTCTCCTTTCCTGGCTCCATCAAAGCAGATCTGACTTCCTGAAGGGCCTTTCCCATGCTTCCCAGAGATGTCAGTTATGTATGGAATAAACAGTCCATGTTCACTTGGTGTTTGTGTTTGTCATCGGCCTGGACATGTGTACCAAGCTGATTTAGGGTCGCTCTGTCTCTATCTGGTGTCACGTACTCTTGGTGCTATGAGCATGATGATATACCAGGATCTTTCTTCTCTAGTTTGGGGGTCACACTCCTCTGGTGCCCCCTGTCCAGTACACTCCTGTCCTGCTGCTGGCTGGTTGGGACCCTGACCTGTGAGGAGCTGAGATTCACAGTTGAGTCAGCAGAGCCTCTGGTTAGATTAAAGTGATGTAGGACAGAAGATTAGATGGTTATTGTTTGGGCACAAGAGTACCTGAGGTTTGCCCATGTGAGAAAGTTGTCTCTGTTCACAACACACTTTCTAACTCAGAGACTCCAGAGGTAAGCACAGAATCAGGAATCCAGAGGTTCCCTGAGGGAAACTGTGACATGAAGAGGAAACCACAAAGGAAACCAGCCCAAACCAACTGCACCTGCTGCTGGGATGGTCCTTGTGTTCAGAGACCCTGAGCGACCCCTGGTGGTCACAGCCTCTCCTATAGGGAGGTTTGTGTAGGCTTACACTGACTTCCTCTCACTGTGTCTCTTGCACAGTAATACACGGCCATGTCCTCAGCTTTCAGGCTGTTCATTTTCAGGTACAGCATGTTCATGGTGTTGTCTCTGGAGATGGTGAATTGGCCCTTCAAGAGTTGGCATAGTTTGTGGTACTTCCATCAGGATTAATTACAGTAACCCCCTCCACCCCTTCCGTGGAGCATGGCAGACCCAGTACATCCAGTAGCTACCGAAGGTGAATCCAGAGGCTTCATAGGAGCATCTCAGCCCGCCCACCCCAGGCTACATCAAGCCTTCCTCAGACTCCACCAGTTGCACCTCACACTGGACACCTGCAAACACAGAGATGACCTGCTCAGAAAGCTCTCACACTTCCACTGCTTCTCTCACTCCTGACCACTCACATACTCAGTGTCTCTTGTTCTCCATAAATTACCTCTTAAAACAGCCACAAGGAAAACCCAACTAAGCTAAACCTCATGGTGAGTGGTCTGTATTAAGTCCAGATCAGAAAATGGGAACACCTGGGGATACCAGGGCTGGGGTCCTGTCCCAGAGCTGCAGGGTCAGGGCTGGGATGGTTTTTATGAGCAAACTGGGCCCTATTTGCATGTCCTCCTGCTATATAGGGATATCTGGGGTTGGACTCTGTAATTAAGGACATGGCCCCAGAGTGTGACATGTCCAAAAAATGCATGTTTGTTAAATAATATACCTTATACAGGCCTCTGCCCTCCCCATGGAACCCAACTACTCCAGGTCGCCTGTACAAAAAAGATAAGGATAGAATATGATAGATTCCTTTGATGGTCACCAGTAAAGACAACTAAGAGTAATTAACTTTCAAATATTATGATGAAAAAATGCAGCAGGTTCATATTCAGGAGATGGGGAGTTCCACCTGACACTATTTTCCCTACAAAGTGATCAAAGGATAAACTAAGACAAGAGTGTGAGCCTAAAGCCAGTGGACCAAGTGTTGGAGGAGCATCTGTGTGGGTCCCTGAGAACCAGAAACATGAACTATATAGACACGGACAGAACTCTCGGCCCTATTCCTTAAAGGGGATTTTGGTGCTGGACATGTAGCAGATGCATGGCCTCCTTGGTGGTGTTTATTCTCTAGACTCTGTTGTAAATCCAGTTTCATATATTGGGATGAAGAATAATCTCTGTCATGACCAGGTGTGTTTAGGGGAAGCTGTGGATAATTATTTAGGAATAATTATGTTTAGGTTATGAAAACATTATTATTGGAAACCTGATGTCTGCATGTGACCCTTGGGACCAGGGTCCCATGTCTCCACATGATGGGGGTCAGCTGGACTATGCACCTGACTCAGTGCCACATTGGGAGGAAATCTACCTGGGAACATAATGGGGAATTAACCAAGACCGAGGACACACACAGGTCCAGGGTTCTTGTTTCATCAGGTT